AACGCTTCAAATAATGAGGCTGAATATGAAGCACTAATTGCAGGGTTAAAACTTGCCCTAAGCCTCGGAACCCGAGAGCTAAACGCTTATAGTGACTCACAGCTAGTAGCTAGCCAATTCCACGGAGAATATGAAACAAGGGACGAAAGAATGGGGGCATACCTCGAAGTCGTCCAAAGCCTCACTAAGCAGTTCAACAAGTTTAAGCTGACAAGGACCCCACGAGGAGAGAACTCCTCGGCAGATGTGTTGGCTGCCTTAGCATCCACATCAGACCCCCTCGTAAAGCGGATTATACCTGTAGAGGGAATCGAAAACACAATTATCGATATAGCTACCAAAGCTGAAATCGATAGCAAACCAAAAGAGAAAACGAAAGTTAGCTATTCCGAGGCAATAACAACTCAAGTTCTCACAACATTCTGGTTCCCAACAACCAAAATTCGCAATTTCAAAAAGCATACCTCCGGGGGCACGACCCAGACCCCGGACTCGCATGTTTATACAACAGCCACTCCCTCTGACATTGGAGGTACCTCCGGGGGCACGACACAGACCTGAAGATATTCCACGGAATTCAGACTCCCTTGAGCCTAACCCAAGGAATATCTCCGGGGGCACGACCTATGGCCACAATAACACTCAGGAACTTGAGCCCGAACAGGAACCTCCGTTGTCTCTTCATGAAAAAATCGTAGGAAGAGAAGACTGGAGAATACCAATTATGCAGTATATCTCGGAGGGTAAGGTCCCCCCCCCCAAAAAAAAAAAATGGGAAGCTCGAAAACTCAAAGAGTTAAGCACAAAATACTGCATAATGGAATCCACCCTTTATAAACGAAGCGTATCGGGACCTTACCTAAGATGTGTCCATGGCCTCGACGCCATTAGACTCATGAAAGAAATGCACAATGGCTCCTGCGGAAACCACTCCGGTGGCAGAGCTTTAGCTATCTGACTCAAAAGGCAAGGCTATTTCTGGCCTACCATTATCGCTGATTGCGAGATCTACTCATCTTCATGCGAAAGATGCAAGAGGCATGCACCAATTAGACATCAGCCTACGGAAAAACTATCCTAGATTTCCGCCTCATACTCGTTCATGAGATGGTCCATGGATATCATAGGACCGCTAGTAAAATCAGGAAGAGGAAAGCAAAAGCTAAGCTTCCTTTTAGTCCTAACAGACTACTTCACCAAATAGATTGAAGCTGAAGCTCTCCAGCAGGTAACTAAAGTCGAAACCAAACGAATCGTATGGAGAGACATCATCTGCCGTCACGGCGTCCCATATGAAATCATAACCGATAACGGGTCACAATTTATATCTAATGACTTCAAAGCATTTTGCGACAAGTGGAAAATTCGTCTCACTATGTCGACACCTCGATACCCTCAGAGAAACAGTCAGGCAGAGGCTGCTAACAAGTCGATATTAGCAAACCTCAAGAAACGTCTCAGAATCAGTAAAAGTTCTTGGTTTGAAAGACTACCTGAGGCGCTTTGGGCATGCCGAACCTCCCCACGAAAGGCTACGGAAGAAACTCCTTTCTCCTTAGCCTACGGGATGGAGGCTGTCGTCCCAGCCAAAACCATCATCGGGAGCCTCCGACGGGAACTCTGTACATTTAACCCCAAAGCCAATGATCAGCTCCTATTAGATAACCTCGATTTAATCGAGTAACGGCGAAACCAAGCCTTGCTTTGCATTCAAAACTACCAACAAGCAATGGCCCGACATTACAACTCAAAAGTCAGGTCCCGACATTACAACTCAAAAGTCAGGTCCCGACATTACAACTCAAAAGTCAGGTCCCGACATTACAACTCAAAAGTCAGGTCCCGACATTACAACTCAAAAGTCAGGTCCCGGCAATTCGTTGCAGGTGACCTAGTACTTAGAAAAGTTTTCAATCAAACCAAAGAGCCGTGCGCTGGGAAACTAGGAACCAACTGGAAAGGTCCCTATCGGATCATCCACATGGTACGACCTGGCGTTTAAGCCCTCCTGAAAGTACGAACCGGGGTACCTGAAAACCGATCATGGAACACCATGAATCTCAAGAGATACTATCATTAGGTACCTAAACTCCATGAACTACGTTAGGCTTGATCCCTTAACCGGGTACGTAGGCAACTCTGTCATGAGTGCAGCCTCAACCTCATTTCAGCATTCTTTTCATCATAGCCAAAGGGGGCATATGTTTAAAAACACATAGCCCAGACAACAACTGTATGATTGCTACAGCGCGATGTATTCTATAAAAGTTATCAATGAAGGGATTACATGTAAACATTTTGATTATCCTTCAAATAAGTCCAGGTCCCCGCGAGCCTGGACCTGAGGTCTTAAAATCCCTCAAACGAACTCAGGTCCCTACGAACATGAACCTAAGGACTTAAATCCTTAGTAAATTCAGAAGTCTTGAAAACTTCCGAACGAATCCAGATTTATGTGAATCTACCCTTAAAGGCCTTAAAAGCTCTTTGGAAATAATTTAGATCCCTAAAGATCTTAATCTAATCTCGAAGATCCAGGAACTCATTCCTGATAATCTCACGACCAATCACAATCGAAAACACTGAGACCTCTAAGGTCAGGGTCAGCTGCTAACAAGATCCACGATATGATTCCGGAAAGATCACATGAATCTCATACTTAGAAAGTCACAGTACGTGACTCGAGTTTACACCTCGAAGTCAAACAAATCTAGGTCCCTACGAACCTGGACCTAAGGTATTAAAATCCTGCAAACGAATCCAGGTCCCTACGAACCTGGACCTAAGGTATTAAAATCCTGCAAACGAATCCAAGTCCCTACGAACCTGAACCTAAGGTCTTAAAATCCTTCAAACGATTCCAGGTTCGTAGACCTAAGGTCTTAAAATCCTTCAAACGAATCCAGGTCTCCGTGAACCCGAACTTAAGGTCTTAAAATCCTTCGAACGAATTCAGGTCTCCGTGGACCTGAACCTAAGGTCTTAAAATCCTTTAAACGAATTCAGGTCCCTACGAACCTGGACCTAAGGTCTTAAAATCCTTCGAACGAATTCAGGTCTCCGTGAACCTGAACCTAAGGTCTTAAAATCCTTTAAACAGACTAATTCAGGTTTCCACAAACCTAAACCTAAGGTCTTAAAATCCTTAGTAACCTCAAAGGTCTTAAAATCCTTTAAACAAGCTAATTCAGGTTTCCACAAACCTAAACCTAAGGTCTTAAAATCCTTAGTAACCTCAAAGGTCTTAAAATCCTTTAAACAAGTTAATTCAGGTTTCCACAAACCTAAATATAAGGTCTTAAAACCCTTAACAAAAGTCAAGGTCTTAAAATCCTTCGAATACAAATCCTGGTTCCAAAAGAACCTCAATCTAAGGTCTTAAAACCCTTAATGAAACTCAAGGTCTTAAAATCCTTCGAAAACAAATTCAAGTTCCCAAAGAACCTCAATCTAAGGTCTTAAAACCCTTATCAAAACTCAAGGTCTTAAAATCCTTCGAAAACAAGTCCAGATTCCCAAAGAACCTCAATCAAAGGTCTTAAAACCTTAACCAAACTCAAGGTCTTAAAATCCTTCAAAAAAAAAAAAAAAAAAATTCAGGTTCCCAAAAACCTCAACCTAAGGTCGCAAAACTCTTAGCACCGTTCGAGATCTAAAAGATATCCCAAGTAAATTTAGGTCCCAGAAACCCATTCTCGGGACCTCTCGCTAAAAGGCTACGGGACCTGTTATCAACAGGCTCCCCGACCTTCACCCAAAAGTTTCCTAGACCTCATGTCTAACGACTACGGGACCTATTACTAACAGGACCCAGAATCCTTCGTTCAAGGAAGTAAAAACTTCTACTTAGACGATCGAGTCTGTATTAAGGAATTTATCAAAACATCGACGAAGATCAAAGATCCTAACAAAGCAAAGGTTTAAAGGCCTCCTCAGGCCACAAGTCTTAACAAAGATAAAAAGAAAGCCCATTGGGCAGAAGTCTTGGGAACACGAAGACATAATCGCTATCTCAACAAAGAGATAGAGATCAGGCGGTTGAGCTTTAGCTTCCGAGAAAAGAGGTCTCATCTCGAAAGCTGGGGGCAACTGTTGGGCCCAAATATGGCCCGCTAGCTGAGACTANATCTCAACAAAGAGATAGAGATCAGGCGGTTGAGCTTTAGCTTCCGAGAAAAGAGGTCTCATCTCGAAAGCTGGGGGCAACTGTTGGGCCCAAATATGGCCCGCTAGCTGAGACTAATGGGCTCGAGCGATAAGAGTTGACTATGGGCCACTGTAAGCCCATTGGCAATTAATCTTTTGAGAAAAGAGTTAAAAAGAAGTCGGAGGCTGTTTTTGCTAAGGAAGGAACGTCAACAAAACAGGTCACGGAGGAGAGCTCCGGACCTCATTTACAAGGAGCTAACAGGAGAGCTCAGGCTGGTTGCGCAGGACCCGGTCAAAAGGAGACTGTTGAGAATCCCCCAACTCACGGAGCAAATCTCGGAGGCTGGTTAGGATCGTTCAAACGTGGCTGGGAGCTATTTAAGGAGGAGGAGATCAGAGAAAGGGGCTCTCTCTCTCCATTCATTGATTCTACCATTTACACATGTTAAGTTCACAAAACGTTCTCGTAATTCTTTGTAATCATCAGAATCATCTGGTTAATCATCTTTGTAATCATTCTTCATCAAAAACATCAATACAATCGCATTCTTTCTTCAAGTTCTTACAGGATTCAGCCCACGCTTACCTTGTCTCCAATCTAAACCTAACCTAAACTAGGAAGTGAGTTTTATCCCTCACAGGTAACTACTGCTCAATTTGTTACCGTCTCTCTCACCTTCATGCACGGTGCCCAGAGAGGACTGTTAGTAGTACAGCCAATTTGCCCGTCAACACCGGTACTGAGCGAACCACTCGACGGACATCCCCCAGAAACTCTCTCCCTGCTCCGGAAGTACCAAGCGATACAGATCCTGCACACAACAAAGTCTTCCAACAAAGACTAGATAGACATGGGAATCCTTTCGATAATAGGATTTCCTCTGCGTCAGATCGTCCATCGGGACCAAGAAACAAGCTGGCTCCACCTCCCATTCACTCCCACGGGAGGAATGATCTCATTTCAGCGAAGGCTAAAGACAATAATCGCTCTTCTCCTCCACATCCGAGGAGAAATTACGCCAGCCAAGATGCAGATAGGTCATACAATTCACCACCTTACTCGAGGCGGAGAACCAATAACTATGTTGAGGAACAAGAGGAAGATAACCGCAGAGCTCGTAATCGCAGATCCCCCAATCTTCAATGGAGAGCCAAATCACCTTTGCTTGATCAAGAAGTTACCCCTCCTAGTGCTCCCTTCCAACCCCCAAGAGCTTCTGTGGGACGGAACCTGGACATTGCGGACTTTCCCCCACCTCTACCTGTCACGGGACCTTCTAGAGAGGAATTTATGGAAGATCTCAGAATCTCCACTCTGCGATATATCAATGTCCCTGACCCGGTAGAGAGCGCAGCAAGAAAACACCGGTTGCTTCAAAGTGAGCTAGATGGAACAGTGGAAGAGACAGCAAATTTCATCTTACAGGCTTCGGGTTCTGCTGCTGGTGCGGAAACAACGGCATCTCTGCCTCCTGCGATCTCACATCCTGCTCCTCAAGAAGAGATCACAGAATCCTCCACTAATCCGACAAGAAGGCGAGGAAGACCACGTATTCACCCTATCAGGAAAACCTCTGTTCGACTCAGCCCAAAAACTTTCTCAGGTACAGGTTCAAAGAAAAGGAACCTAGCTCGCCTTAACTCTTCACCAGGCACATCAGCACAACCTGCTACAAGGCAGAACACAGCACCATCTGGCTCGACAGCCCCACCAATCGTTTTAATCCCAGCTAGTTCGAGGAAGACGACGGATTTTCCTCGATCATCAACCGATCTTCCTTAGCGATGATGAGCTGGAACTGTCGTGGTCTCGGAAATCCCATGACAGTCCAGAGGATCAGGGAACTTCGACAACAAGCTTCCCTAGACATAATTTTCCTAATGGAAACAAAAAATCCGGATCCTTTTGTGCTGAAGGAATTAAACTTTCTAGATACGGATCAACATTTCCTCGTCTCCCCTTCTAGGCCTAATAGCGGTGGTCTTGCATTATTCTGGAAACCTGACATTGATCTACATGTTATCTCGTCTTCTAAAAACATGATCGACACTGTTATTTCTCACAAAGGAGCCACTGTTTTTGTATCTTTTGTTTATGGCGAGCCTGAAGTGCCTAATAGAAATATGTTTTGGGATTCTTTGATTGATCTTTCCCTTACACGAAATTCTGCTTGGCTTTTGACTGGTGATTTTAATGAAATTATCGATAATAGTGAAAAATCGGGAGGCCCGGAACGAGCTGAAGGAACTTTTTCGGTGCTTTTCGTAACATGCTCTCTCATTGCGATTTGTTTGACCTTAAACACTCGGGAATCTCCCTGTCATGGAGAGGAAGAAGGCGAAAAAAGCTAGTCTATTGCAGGCTGGACAGAACCTTGGTTAATCCAGCTTGGTCTGATTTGTTCCCAACCGGTATATGCCAATATCTTGGCTTCGAAGGATCAGATCATAGACCCATTATCACCGTTTTCGACTCTGTGAAGCGCCAGCGAAATCGTCTCTTCAGATATGATCGCAGGCTCCGTGATAATGTTGAAGTAAAAGAGCTTATCGCGGAAACCTGGAATGCTTATACAGAGGCCTCTGTTTCAGCTCGCCTGGCTATGTGTCGCCGTGCCATCTCGGTTTGGACACGAGAACAACATTTTAATAGCAAGGAAAAGATCAATAACCTGAAACAACGATTGGATACTGCGATGACTGATCCTCAAGGGAACGATAACCTTATAGCAGTCATCAATTCGGAGTTATTAATAGCCTACAGAGCCGAGGAGGAGTTCTGGCGTCAACGGAGTAGAATTATGTGGCTATCATCAGGCGACAAAAACTCAGGCTTCTTTCATGCAGTCGCTAAAGGTCGTAGGGCTCGTAACAGAATGACGGTGATTGAAGATCCTGCAGGAACAGCTTACTACGAAGAAGAACTTATTGTGGGACAAATCTCTGCGTATTTTTCAGATATTTTCGCCTCAGAGGCCAATGAAAACACATTACTATCGACAAAGGAGATTGTGGACTCTGCGATCATGGCCTCTGTTTCTGATTCAACCAACGAGAGAATCATGTATGTGCCTGATGCAGCAGAAGTGAAATACGCCCTTTTCCTTATCCACCCCGATAAAGCTCCCGGTCCGGGCGGCTTCTCGGCAAGCTTCTTTCATTCTAACTGGAGCACGACTGGGCAGGCTGTTGGGGTCAAAATCGGTACGACGGAATCAATAGCCAGAATTCCCCGCAAACGCGTAAACGCAACAGTTTTATGAATCTCGAGAATCATTTTATAAAACTCGAAGATCGTTTTATAAAACTCGAGAGATCGTTTTATAAAACTCGAGAGATCGTTTTATAAAACTCGAGAGATCGTTTTATAAAACTCGAGAGATCGTTTTATAAAACTCGAAGATCGTTTTATAAAAACTCGAAGACCGTTTTATAAAACTCGAGAGATCGTTTTATAAAACTCGAGAGATCGTTTTATAAAGACTCGAAGATCGTTTTATAAAACTCGAAGATCGTTTTATAAAACTCGAAGATCGTTTTATAAGACTCGAGAGATCGTTTTATAAAACTCGAGAGATCATTTTATAAAACTCGAGAGATCGTTTTATAAAAACTCGAAGACCGTTTTATAAAACTCGAAGACCGTTTTATAAAACTCGAGAGATCGTTTTATAAAACTCGAGAGATCGTTTTATAAAAACTCGAAGATCGTTTTATAAAACTCGAAGATCGTTTTATAAAACTCGAAGATCGTTTT